CACACACACACACACACACACACACACACACACACACACACACACACCCGTGGGAACATACTTGGAGCAGAGCTGCAGGCGGAGTGGGAGTGGGATGAGACAAGGGGACAGGGCGGACACGATCCACATACATTATAAACATGTATGGAATTATCAGAGAAGAAAAGCAATTATTTAAAGACCAAAACTATGTAAATTGATGACATCAGAAACAATGGGGACATCGCTAACAACACTAGTGAAGAAACAGTGGGGGGAATTACAAAACCAGTTTTAAAGACCGTGCAAATGAGCTTTCTGAGCAGCATATCCCTACGGTATCTATGTGTGGGGGCGTATGTAGATAAATAATTTGCTTAGCAGAAAATGACTTGCTGCGGCCTAGTTGATGGCTCACCTTGACACTTCGTATCTTATACTGAAGGCGCCTTAGGTCATCACCCTTCTCAGTGTAGAGTAATGCGTCCCCTTTCCTAGGTTCCACTTGATAGATCACGTGCTCAAAGCCAATGGAAGACTCCAGGGGTTCGATTCCATAGCTAGCATTTCCAAACTGAAGAAAGCCCCTGACGAAAAACAAGACGACAACAAAAATACAAGCTATAAATGAAACAACGCTTGGGAAAGTGTCAGCCAATTGCCACGTAACTATTGCATTTTCGTAAGGTCACTAATTCCTACTGAGTTACTGAGGAGCCGCACACTGAGTGGCACGGAATAGTGATGTGGCTGGGATTGTCCAGCTATTCATGTTTCATGGCTCTGTGGGGCTGAAGGAATGCCGAGGGGATAAGAGCGCTTCCTGCTCTCATGGAGGACCACGTGTGGTTCTCAGCTCCACACGGCAGCTCAGAACCACCTGCTCCAGGGTCTTCCTCCAGTGCTCATGCGGGCGCACACATCTACACGTAAAAATAACAAATAAATCCTGAGAAATTTTTTACGAGCTCCAAATTTAAGAAAAACTTAAATTCAGTATGAGGATAGAAGCTAGCATCTAAAATAATTTCCATGTATGACCCATTTTGTGTTCCACACACTCACACACATACATACACCAATTTAAAAACCACACACCATTTTATATACAATTACGTATTACAACCTGAGTCCGGTACACGTGCTAACAATCACCATAGAATTTGGATAGCCTTCAACAGATCCTTGGAAGTAGCAGATATTCTGAAACACAAAGATAAAACACACAATATATCCCTTGTGGTAAAGATAACATTATCAAATACCTCCAATTGCTGGCTATTTTGTGTGTGAACCAAATAACAGTGGTTCCCAAAGCTCCACTCCGCAACTTTCCAAAATGTTCTTCTGGCTTTGTAAGTAAACAACCACATACATTTTCTACAGTTCCATTTCCCCCGGCCCCCTCGACAGGGTCTCACTCTGTAGCTCTGGCTGCCTGGACCTCACTATGTAAATCAGGCTTGTCTCCATCTCCCGGAAGTCTGTCCGCCTCTGTCTTTTTATTTTCTTTATCAATAATCAAGGTAAGGTAAAGAGCAACAAAAACTCATTTTGTTTTGTTTTCGAATTCTTCTGACTTAATTCTGCTTGTTAGAGGAGCAAAAATGAATCCAAAAGAGAAACTAATTTTCAAGACTATTTTGAGTCGCTCGATTGGCTTGCACAGAGCCCTCTCACAGAGGCAAATAATAGCCCCAGAAACAGGGCCATTACGTTCGCCGAGCTTTTTGTTACGTGGGTTCCCACGCGTCTTCTGCAAGGGAGACAGGCAAGGGAGCAAGGGGCTACTAATGGTTCAGTCTTCAGGTTCTGGGAGGTGGCCAGGGTTTCCGGGGTTCTGGAAATGAGACGCAAAGCCTTGGAAGAGGAGAGACACAGAAGGAGCTCCCAAGATGCATGCTCAGGCACAGCTCCTGTATCAGCCCTTGGACTGAGGTTGTGGCCCGCAGAGAGACCTAAGGGCTTTCCAGTGGCTGACTCCACCCACCCAGCCCAATCCCCTGGGGAGTATTTACATCTCCCTCTTCTTATCTGTCTTTGAGGACAGGACACTTACAGAATGCAAGCTCCTCTTCAGGAAGGGCAGGCAGAACCCACTTGGATCCGAGAGGGATGCCAGCCTGACCACGTGACAACATCTAGCCTTAGTTTCTATTCTAAGTGGCTTTCCCACCAAAGCAGTAAGAGAAGTACTGGAGCATACAAGAGGCAAAGAGAGACAGGACCCGGGTCCGAGGAGAACACTCCTTTGCTGTGTCGATACTTGTGACCTCTCCTGAGCAGGTGAGCTGAGAATTGTGAGGGTCCCAATGGCCTACTCTCATTATCCGTTGACCTGTGCTGTTGAAACTCAGCCGTCTTTGACTTTAGGCACTACACAGTGATCTCTCCAGGGTGGGGACAAAATTCTGATCCTAACATGGGAATCTGGCAGAAACTAAGCCCCGTAAAGCTTGCAAGCCAGGCGCTGGCTCCAGAGGAGTTCCTGGAACAAGACAGGGAACACTTAAAGTTGATTTCCTTCAGTGCTGGGGATTGAACCTAAGACCTCATGCATATTCGGCAAGAACTCTATCACCCTATCTCCAGTCCAAGACTGGGAACTTGTCAAAGATTAGTAAGCGTTTTGGTTGCATCGTTGAACATGATTAAAAATATATTAGCAGCTGTGATAGCACACACCGTTAAGCCTAGCCATCTGGAGTCAGAGGCAGGCAGATTTCTGGGAGTCTCAGGCCAATCCAAGCAAGTGCTAGGCTAGACAAGGTTACATAATTAGATCCTGTCTCAAAACAGAAAACAAAAACAAAACCCCCAAAGTACACCACTCACATACACACACACACACACACACACACACACACACACACACACACACACACACTCACATAGAGAGAGAGAGAAAAAGAGAGAGATACTTAAATAAAGGGGAAAGTATCACAGAGTGAAGGGAAGATGAGGATGCTGAATCTGCCGGAAGTGGACACAGATGCACTTTTCTGTTTGCCAGAACTGACTGAGGGGCTCTCGAGTGGGTAGTAACCAGTCTATTTGGGCATGCTATTTGCAATAGAACAAGGAGAAGCTCGTGCCTACAGGCATATTAAAAACAGACAGAAAGGAACAGGTTGTAGGGAGAGGGCCGTGCTAGATTGGTGAACTCTCTCCATGTTTAGCCTCCAAGTAGCTGGTTAGCCTGTGAGGGCCAGGTGGGAAGCAGATGGAGAGGAGGAGTGTCCTGGGTCGAAGAAGACAGGAAAGCTTGACCTACACAGCTGTCCCACCAAGGCAGACACACTGGACTGGAGGAAGCTGTGGAAGAGTGTGTGCCCCGGGGTTTAAGACAGGGCAGCAACCAGCCAACTGGGAACAGTCTGATACTGCTGTGGTGTGAAGGAAAGGACAAAGAGAAGCCTGAATGACCACTTTCTTCCAGGCTGACCATGGGCGGGGGTAACCTTAACCTTTGTCTTCTTATAAAATGACAGCACAGACTTAGCACATGGTGGACAGGAGAGAGGACAGACTTTGCCAGGATAATCCAGACAGTTACCAGACAATTAATAAAACTAGTAACAATTACAAGTGTCAAGGGGCGAAGGAGACAAAACTCAGACTGCTTACATGACGCTAGGCAGAATGTCTGATTTCAAGCAAAACACCGCAAGGCTTGTAAAGAAACAAGCAAGCACAAAATGATTGGGGAAAGGAGGAGTTTAACAGACTCCCCATTTTCTAGAGGCTGCATTCTTGGATTCCCCAAAAATGCATTTGTTGAGCCACTGGTTCCCAGTGTGATAGGATCAAGACATGGAGCATGGTTGTCTACGAGGTTGATTTGTTCTTTGGCATATGTTGTTATTTCCAGGATAGTTTGCTTTTAGGGATGAATATAGTTTTTGAAAAATCATAAAAACAGCTCTGTAAATTTTCCTGTTTTTACCTACTTGATAGACTTGGGTTTTCCTAGGCTAGACACAGGCTGAAGGCAGTGACAGAGACCCAGACTATCTACTCAAACCCCTGTGTTTGTTGTGTTGGATACTAGCAGTTTTAAGTTTTAAATAAAGCACTCTTTCCTCAGCCTTTTCTCAAAGTTATACTTTGGAGACAAGGAGACAGAATCTAACCATTTATTCAAGCAGCCTCACATTCACTGTACCTTGCTGCCCTGGGTTCCAAACTTCCTGTCTAAATCCTGAGTCTGATATCTGTTACCATGTAGGCTTTTGCTTCATAAGATTTTTGTTGTTGTTCTTACTGTTTATTTCTTCATATAGTCCAGGCTGGTAAACTCCCTATGTTGCTGAGGGTGACCTTGAACTCCTCATCTTTCTATTTCTACTTCCTATGTGCTGAGATTAAAGGCTTATGTCTTCATGATCAAATGTGGCCTTGTGTCTATCTGTCTTTTTCTCATACTTACATAAACACACATGTAAATCTCTTTCTGTGTAGCAGACAGCACCATTGGAGAATATGCATTATTTCTATATCAATATGGATTTGTGTGTGTGTGTGTGTGTGTGTGTGTGCGTGCGTGCTAAAGTGTGACAGTGTTAATTGCCAATTTGACAGAATCTAGAGTCGCCTGGAGGCAGGACACTGGGAATTAACATCATTTTGTCCAATGAGTTGGGAATGGCCATCCACTCGCTGCCTGGAATGCAGGACTTTATAAATAAATGAAGACAGCTGAGCAGTAGGATGCCACCATCACTCTCTGCTCCTAACCATGGATGCCATGTGGACAGCTGCTTCAAGCTCTAGCCGCCTTTCTTCCCAACCACGATGAGCTTAAACTAGGAGCCAGAACAAAACCTCTCTCTCTTAAGTTGCCTTTGCCAGGGTGTTCTTATCACAGCGACAGGAAAAGAAAACAAGACACTAAGACCATGCCTATTGGTTTTGTTAAAATCGTAGCCTCTAAAAATGATGGCATCGTTATCTAGAAAATGAAGATGCAAAAGAGAAAAAAAAAAGAAAGGAGGAAGAGAAGGTGGGGAGGGGAAGCAGCAAGCACAAGACAGGACAATGGCAATGATAAAAAAGTGTACTTCTTCAGACACGGGGCAGTTCCGCAGCTCTATCCACATTCCTCAGTTGCTCCCATCCCCCAATGTGGATACACAGCTCCAGCTGCTTCAAATGTGTGAAAATGTAATATTCTCCCGTTGTTTCGTGCGTTCTCATTTGATCCTTGGGCAAACTTCAGAGAACACTTAGGGGTTCCCTTGCTGTCTTTGATATCACTTCCCTGACTGAAATTGAGGCTTTTCACACGTGCACATTTGTATACCATTGGGAACCCAATAGTTTGGAAACATTGCAGTCTGACTTGTTTTAATAATCACCTGCTTCATGGGCCAAGCACATATCAACAGAAGGAAATGATTAAGCTCATGTCAGAACTAAAGAGGGTGTCTACACTGCACACTCCAGGACCACACATACCACCGAGGCAGAGGGAGATGGAACCATACCTTAAAATGCTGATCAAGAGGCTTCATGATTCCTGCTTTGTCATAACTGTAAACTCTAAAGTTGGGAGGCAAGAACGCTCTGCAAAAGCAAAGATAAAATGCGTTTAAATAGAAACTTGCTTCCCACGTTTAACTTGAAGTTCACCATCATACATCATCTCTAGGTAAATTTATGGAAAAAAAACCTTTTCAGTGTCCACATCATTTTTTTAAACATTTGTTATTTATACATCATTCAGCCTGTGCCCAGAAGAGAACACCAGATCCCACCATAGACGGTTATAAGCCACCATGTGGTTGCTGGGAATTGAACTCGGGACCTTCGGAAGAGCAACCAGTGCTCTTAACTTCTGAACCATCTCTCCAGTCCAGTGTCCAGACCCTCTAGCTCTGTTAGGTGTGTCAGCAACAGTCAAAGCTGTTCTTTGTAAGCCACCCAAACAGCATTGTCCTACCAGAAACCAAATAGACAAAGATGCCTGCTATGCACGGACCATGGACTGAAGGGAAGTTGCCTTCTCCGGGCCACGTTTGTAGCCTACAGGTGGATGGGGCAGATAAGAGATGAATCCCAAGCAGCCCCAGCATTGCTGAGACACTGGAATAAGGATAAGAGTAAATGCTGAGCCCAGCTGAAGGGTGCAGAAGGGATCAGACACAAGCATCTGCTAAGCCATTCCCAAAGCCTCCATGGCCCAAAGCCATATGGGAGAGGGAGCATGGAAAAGGAGCCATGTCCAAAGAGAGGCCACCATGTCCCTGAGAGAGGTAGGAAAGGGTCATAGGAGGTAACGGTCATAAAACAGAGTTTAGAACAGTGGCTACACACATATAAAAAGGTGGGTCCAAAGCCTGAATCTTAGGAAGAAAGGTAACAACAGTTAAATAAACAATGCAGTGTAAGGAAAAGATTCTCCTTTTGAGGGAAAAAGTGGAATACAGGCGGGAGAGATGGCTCTGTGGTTGGGAACATTGTCCATTCTAAGCAGCCAGGTGGTAGCTCACATACCTCTGCAACTCCAAATTTGGGTGTTCGGATGCCCTCACCTGGTCGCTGCAGGGACTGTGTACGTGCGGTGTGCATACATACACAGGAAAAAAAAAACACAGGCATACATGAAAAATCTTTTTGAGAACTTTAAAAAATAAAAATTAAACGACAGAAAGAGAAGCAAGCCATGAAAAACATTTGCAGAAAACTAACATGTGTACTTGTACAGAAGCTTTTGAACATGAGAAGTAGTCAGATGCTCATAGAAAACAATCCTTAAAACTGGCCCAAAACAAATCAGTAAGAGCGAAAGTAAAAATCTGAAGAAATCACCGTGCACAGAGTGTTATGGGAAGGGAAGATGGAAGGGTATGGATAAATCCATGCAATAGATCGGTGAGCGTGCAGTGACTTCAGTGAACAAGTGGATGAGCCAGTCACCCAAACTCTTGTCAAGCGAAGGCCCCAGGCACACCCCCACGGCATCCTGGAGAGCCGGGTGGGGTGAGAGCAGGGCCCTGGGGCTGTGCTGTGGCCTCACAGGGCGCTTTGATACTAGCTCTGTTCACAGCAAAGGTGTCCCGTGCCGGGAAGGATGGGCATGGCACCAGCCTATTCAGGCATAAGCTGGTGGTCAGCTAGCTGCAAAGATAACTGGAGAGAAGCCGGGAGGGCTGGAAGAGACCAGCGGTGCCGGCTGCTGATGGCTCCAGCCCCCAGGGGCACCGGGTCTAGGAATTGGTTACAGAAACTTCATAGTCTTTTAAACACAAAACTGAAGATGATGCAGAAAGATGAAGCACAAATCAAGGAGTGGTGGCGTGTGTCTGTGACCCCAGCACTTGGGAGACCGAGGAGTAGTGAGTACTTGGCCAGCCTTGGCTACCTGGAAAGATTCTGTCTCAAAAAACAAAAACCAAACCAAAACAAACAAACAAACAAAAAACAAAGGGGAAAAATGTGTTGGGGAAAGAGCAATGAGTACTTGGCCAGCCTTGGCTACATGGAAAGATTCTGTCTCAAAAAACAAAAAAACAAAACAAAACAAACAAACAAACAAAGACCAAAAGGGGAAAAAAAGAACAGCCCCTAACTAGGAAAATTTGAGACACAAAATCATTACGTTTTAGGTAATTACCAACAATGACAAGATGTGAAATCACCTACTTTTGCGTTAGGTTCAGAGTGTATTTTTTCCCCTCAATTGTGAGTCTGTAGACCACCTGGAAGGAGAAAATATTTTAAAATACAAGGAAACAGGATGCTGGAGTTAGAAAGAAGAACTTTTTAAAAAAAAAACATGAATGCACCCCCAAATCATATTGATACATTTTAGATAGCTTTTTCTAAAATTTTAGTTTTTATCCAGTAACTGTGCTACCTCGCTAAAGACTCAGATCACTCTGACACTCATGATTCATAACTGGGCAGAATCTAACAAAATTGCTTCGTAGAAATTCCACATACAGGAGAGCAAAATGCCAGGAGCACAGTGTTGTGGTGTTTGTGGATTCTACAGAATCTGCTCATGGTTTGGACACAGAGCTCACGAGTGCTACACCAATGTGAAGGTTTAGAAACGCTCCCTGTGGTTACCAGTCCTGGCTCTGTACGTCTGCAGAGACCTGGTGCCTTTTAATCTATAAGTGTGAAATGATAACATAGCTCAGCATATATTAAGCTCTTTGCTTTCTCCCTTTTTATTTTTGTCTTCAGTCAGATTGACTTGCAATTAGATTTTTAGGTAGCGTAAGACAGATTCTTTTTTAAAATCCTGCTTTATACTTTTTTTTTTGCCAAAATAAAAATGTGGTGCATTTTTGTATTTCTATCATGCTTATACAATTTCTTGCTGTTGGGTTTTGTTCTGACTTAGCACAGATTTTATTTTGTTTATAATTATCTCATCTGTAAATAATGATAGGCTTTTTTTTTTCCCTTCCCAACTGTTATGCCTAGCCATTTTTTCTGTTGTTTTCTTTCCTTCTTGCATGGCTTGGTAAGTACTTTCAGGACAATAGTAAATAGAGAAATAACAGTAGACAGTTCTACTTCTTTCTAGATCTCTTACGGTGAAAGAATCAGACTAACTTTGTAACCTATGTTTCTTTTAATTGCCTTATATCTTATATTTTCCAGTTTTAAGCCCATGTTAATTAAAACCTCTTAGTGCTTCCCCAGAGAGCCGAGGAATGTAAAAGTTCCTGACATTAGCCATCTGTAAGGGCAGAGATAAGGAAGAGAACAAGCAGAGATCTCTACTAAATGGAGGGAAAATCACCAGCTGGCGCCTATGATATGAGCTTTGTTTGGAAACTGGGCCAAATGACCCCAATCCTTCTCCCAAATAGCTCCTAACCTTTGATCCAAAGCCTGTAGCCCCCACACCTCAGAACAGACACGGGATGAGTTAATCACTCTCCCACCTTTAACTGTGGCTATATCTCATATGTCAGGAAATTCCAAACTGACTTGAAGATCAGATATTTACAACAGGGCTGACCAGACCTAAGGGTGCCCAGAAGCAACCAATTATTTTAAAAGTTAAATACCTCATCCAATCCTGAATTACCAAGCTTGCAACCCCTGGAATTTCCCGTGCTTTGTCGTTTAAAAACCCAAAGCCTTTGTCTCCCAGTGCCACTCCTTGCTGACCAGCAGGGGTGACTCCATTGCGCAATGGTCAAGACAAACCTCTTGCGATTTTGCATCGATGATTAATCTCCCGAGTTCTCTTCATACCTTCTTAAAATTAGGCTCATGCTGGGCCTAACAACGGGATACTTCTAATAGTTCAACTTTATGTTGTTTTTAAGGAGCATTTTGACTTCTCTGTAAGCTACTTTGATACTAGTTTTTAATTGTCGTGTACTTTAGCTATGCTAGATTTAAAAATAGATAAGATTCCAAGTCACCAAAAATCATACTAATAACCAAAACACTGATACTAATTGAAACTAGTGTCAGGTCCACTCAGGAGAGCGTAGCCCTTGCTGACAGCCCAGCTAGCTAGTATCACAAATGTCCTGTTCGCCATTATGAATATTATTTAAACAGTGGTTGTTTTCCATAATTTTTGACTTATAGTAAATTTTATTCTTTCGTAAGTACATAAAACATGGCTGCAGGCACAGTCAGCATTGCTGCTGGTCCTCAAGACCGAGCAAGTGCCCCTAACCACTCTGCCATCTCTCCAGTTATTCTGTCTTTAAGACATCTTCCCTTGGCATTCAAGATATGTCAGAGCTTTATGTCCTCATACCCCCCCGCTGTCGGTTTTGTAAACCCGATCCATGGACTCCATTTTAAAAAACACTTCTCAATGGATAAAAAAAAAAAAAAATGCCTTACCCCCTCCTCTCAGGATGCCCAGTTACTCCAGCTCAGCTTTCCCTTTCTCCCCCTTCTCACCAGCCGTCTGCCTGTTACATGGTCTGTCCTCTGCACGCCCTCGACTTCCATGCTTACACCTTGAGTACCTTCCTCTTAGAATCTCTATTCTCTACCAACTGTGTGTGTGTGTCTGTGTGTGTGTCGTGGCCCCTGAGCCGGTAACTGCTGCAGCCTGGCTGCTTCAGGAGAGCTGGCAGGTGACCTGCAGGCTAATAAGGCAGGCAGATGTTAACAACAGTCACAGCCCCGGACTCCACAGTCGAGACAACTGCTTTCTGTATTCTCTCCGCTCACTGCAGATCAATCCCAGTGAGTTCCTCTGGAAGTTAGTGCCCTCCGGGTAGCATCCTTGTTTGTTTTCCAGTTAAAAAGGAAACAGCCACTTTTTAAAACTGCCCCTTTTAAACTGAATGATTAAAGTTTCATAAACACACACATTCCTTTTTTAAATAAAAAGAAAAAGATGTATAAAATTTACAAGCTTCACCTTTCAGAGGCGCAAATGGAGAAGCACTGAGGAAACACGAGCATTTAAAGACCAGGCTGTCTGTGACCCAGCCTCAAAGGTTGCTGTTTTAAGTAACACAGCTTATAAACAAGTTTAGAACTTACTGAAAAACAAAACAAAACAAAAAAACAAAGGGCAATAATCTTAAAGAGAAGCAAAAACATTTTGAAACAAATTCTTTTTTTTTTTTTTTTTCGTGTTTCAAGACAGGGTTTCTCTGTGTAGCCTTGGCTGTTCTGAGACACAGCCAATAGACCAGGCTGCCTGTCCTGGGACTCAGACCATAGACCGGGCTGGCCTCAAACTCACAGAGATCTGCCTGGTTCTGCCTCTTGAGTGCTAGGTTTAAAGGCATGCACGAGCACTGCCAGGCTCTGAAAAGAAAAATCTTAATGAGAATCATATTTACAAAGTGGAAAAATAGTTCTAAATACGCCATGGTATCAAATGACAACCATCACCTCTCGTGGAAATAGTCCTCCAAACACACGAGGGGTACATACGGATGGGAAGAGAGCCTTTGGTGGGTCAGATCTACAAGTGAGCGGTCAACACCAGAGAAGGACGGGGCTGAGAAACCCAATGTAACCAACAGTGTCTCCAAACATTGTTAATGTTGGCTTAAATGCATACTCCAGCGGATGAGCACGGATGAGAAATACCAAGGTAACTTCCCAAGAAGAAAATATTTGTGTGACTTCTAATCCATAAGCAAATTGGAAGTTAATTACCTGTGATTCGTAGCCTCCGCTTGTGACGGACCAGATTTTCTCTGGTACCGTGACTTGCACGTGTAATCTCTTGTGAGCTGCAAAGGTGCAAAAGGCATTTCTCAGAGCCACACTCTTTCAACGCGGAGAGCCTTCATGCTTATCCCATGAAGCATCATTAACCCGAAAAAGGATCTAAAACCGGAGGATTGTAGGGGCCAAGCCTGGGATCACCCCATCCCCCAGTTTCTGGTTTCTTAGGGTCCTGAGGCCTATAGTAAAGCCCCATGCATCCTGTTCACTTTTCAGCTGTGGTGAGTTGGTGGCCTGGGCTTGTAGCAGGTGCGATCCGGGAAGTTTAGGTGCGAGCCTGGGGCGCCCAAGGCCATCTGGAAGGGAAAGGCAAGCAGAGCGGGCACCCAAAGGCCCCAGAGCGTGTTGTTACTCACTGCCTTCTGTTAGGGGCTCGCTAAGCCCGCCAAGGCCACTCAGCAGAATCAAGACGAGCCACATGGCCTGGCGTCCTGGACCCCAGCCCGGGGAAATGGCAGTTGGTCCGCGGCAGTTGGGAGCGCGAGGTGAAGGCTGTGGGCCGCACAGCTCTGCGCTGGGAGCCTTGCGTGCTGCTTGCTCCTGCTCTGTGAAAGCAGGATTTTGAAAGACTGGTTAGGTTTGAATTCTATCTGAGACCAGAGGAGGGGAAGGGGAGGATGGGCGGTGGAGGGAGGCAAAAAGTTACTAGGGAGAGACAGAATCCTTGGAGCGGCTGAGCAGCAGGGCGGTTCATACGTGAACTTTTACTTCTTAATAACAATACTATGTTGTCATATGTAACAGTGCTTTACATATAACTGGACAGTGTCAACCATAGGTGGACAGTCTGGCTAATAATATTCAAGGGACCAAACCAGTATAATTACCTCCCAGATGAGCAGCTGAGCTAGCACCACCAAAGCTCCAGCTTGTTCCCTGATGGTTCCCACAACCACAGGCCAGCTTTGTCTGCCTTGAACTTTTCCTCGAGAGGGTGAAACGCTTGTATTCCTTCACATAAGGTCCCGGGGTGGTTCCCATTGGCGCAGAGTGCACGTTGAACATATCACCGCGTATTCGGTATTGGTCTATGAGCATCTCTACGTGTGGATTTGGTTTAATACTGAGTTTATTCCCGGAGGGGAGTTGCCAGATCAGAGAGTGTGTTTTGCAAATACTCCTGAAGAATCCTTCAGGACTGGGCTACTAATTTACATCCCGCCAGAAGTGTATGGAGACTTCAGATTCTTTGTCAGAGCTCTTCTAGTTAGCTCCGTCAGCTTGAAACAGCCTAGAGTCACCTGAGAGGGGAGCCTCAACTAAGGGATTGCTGAGGTCAGATTGGCCTCTGGGTGTGTCTAGGGGTGAATTTTCTTCCTGGGCTGGTGGTCCTGAGCTGTGTAGGAGAGTTGACTAAACATGGGCTCAGGAGTGAGCCAGCGAACACCATTCTTCCCTGGTTTCTGCTTCAAGTGCCCGATTGAGTTCCTGCCTGGAAGTGTAAGCCAAATAAATCCCTTCCTCCCCTAAGTTCCTGTTGTCCACAGTGCTCCTCACTGCAACAGACTGCAACTAGAACAAATATCTGCCCTCACTTTTTCTATTTCATTTTGGTTTGAATTTGTTTTCCCTGATGGCTAATGAATGTTTAGCCTTTCACATACTTTTCTGTGTCTATGAACAATATATATGACAATATTTTATTAATATATTACCATATATAATATTTAATTATATACTGTTATCTATTATAGATAGTCTCTTGGGCATTTGCCTCCTTGAGATGCTGTCCCCCCCCCCCTGCTTTCTAAAGAGGCAGCTTTGCCTCTCTTTTCTTGTATGCAGAACCTGGACATACATTCTAGACAGGATCGCTTTGTTGGAAGTAATGACTGTAAAAATCTGCGCACACTGTTTGCTTTCAGTAGTTTTGTTGTTACCATTAGTCACGATCAGCAGTTTTCTTTTATCTCAGCCGGATGGGATTTTCATATGAGTTTTATCATGGATAGTCAATTTACTGAAATCCCTTTTCTGCATAAGTACACTGGTCACAAGGCTTTGTTCACTTTTCAGTCCATGTTCGGAGTTAAACTACTGAAGCAGACTCCTGTCCTTGAAATGCATCATGCTAAGTTTTGAACTTTTTATGTATTTTGGATTGACTTACCTACATTCATTTTGGAATCTTTGTCTCCAAATTAATGAGATCCTTTTAGTTTTCTTTTGTCTCAATGAACTCACCCAAGTTTTTTTTTTTTTTTTTTTGTATCAGAGGTATGCTGGCCCCTTGGAAGGCTCTGGAGGGGCAGCCTCATTCTGTAATCTCTTCAGAATTTAGTGTAATCCTGTGAATGTTTTTCTTCCCTGCTCCCCAAGCATTTGTGAACAGAAGGGCTTTCAAGCTGGGACTTTCCTTGTCAGAGGACTAGTTTTACTGTGAATCTAATTTTTAAAAAAATATCTAAGCCTCTTTCCACTTGTGCTAGTGTGAGGCAGTTTATTTCTGAAAGGTTTTGTTCATTTTTTTTCTGAAATTTTTAAGTATTTTTGCAAAAATTATTTAAGTACCCCCCTCCTATGTCATCCTTTAAAAGGCTGTGGCCTCTAGATAGATGACTTTAAAAAAAATAGTATTGAGAACATAAGTTTTCTCTTTTCTTGTGGTCAGTTATTGAATTGAAAATTTATAAAAAGGACCCAGTTTTCACTCATATGTTAATATTTTCTCTATTTTGTTGACTTGATCCTTGTTTTCATTGGTTGCAATTTGTCCTTTTTTTCCTAGCTGCTAAAAATGGAAGTTTATATATTTTTTAAAACTTCTCTTTTCCCTGTGTCCATTTAAATGTATCAATTTCCACCCATCCACTGCTTTAGCTTCATTAAGTATTATACATTGCATATTCTGTATTTCATTGTATATCGGATAAGCTTTATTTCATTAACATCAAGTCCTAAGAGTTTAATTTTCATCATGATTTCCTTACCTCATGTGTTTGGCTTGCACACACTGACCTGTCCTCAATCATACTTGATCATGCTGTATAAACTTCTTAATGTGGATTTTTTTTTTTGCTAGCATTTTATTGAGAAGTTTTTCTCTTTTAGTATCTGCGTTCATTTAGGGTGATTAGTTTTTAGATTTTGTTGTGTCTTTGTTGGTTTATGGTATCAGGGCAGTAAATGCTGGTTTCATTGGATGAGTATGGAGAATCTTCTCACATCCCTCATGTTTAATAGTTTAATGTTTGATTAGTTTTTTAGAAGTTGGGCCAGGTGTCAGTACCGAAGCTACTTGGTCCTGGCCTTTTCTTACTATTGATTTGAAATCATTGCTTGTTGTTAGGCCTGTTCAGTGTTCTGTCTCTCCAGGGTTCATTCTGGAGGCTGAGAGGCTTGTTGGTATACAGCTGTTATTAGCAGTCCTCAGGTGCTCTTATGGTTCTGGGTGATCAGTCACTTGATTTTTTTTGGGGGGGGAGGGGTGTCCCCGAGTTGTCCTGAGTGCTCTTTTGTCTTTCCTCTTATTTTAACTGAGAGTTTTTCAATTTTATGTCTCACCAAAAGCCAACTTTTGTTCTTTGATCCATCGTATGTGTGTTTTTTAAGTCCTCAGCTTTTTTTTTTTTTTTTTCAAGTATTAAACTTTAATCTTTGAACCTGTGTAGTTCTATATTTTGGCCAGTATAACTTCAAATCCACAGACTCTTTTTAAAAAAAAATATTATTATTATTATTTATTACAATTTATTCAATTTGTATCCTGGCTGCGGCCCCCTCCCTTGTCTCCTCCCAATCTCACCCTCCCTCTCCCTTCCCCCCATGCCCCTCCCCTAGTCCACTGATAGGGGAGGTCCTCCTCCCCTTCCATCTGACCCTAGCCTATCAGGTCTCATCAGGACTGGTTGCCTTGTCTTCCTCTGTGGCCTGGCAAGGCTGCACTCCCAGGGGGAGGTGATCAGAGAGCCCACCACTGAGTTCATGCCAGAGACAGCCCCTGCTCCCTTTACTAGGGAACCCACTTAGTCTATGGGCTACATCAGAGCCAGGGTTTTAGGTCCTCTCCATGTTTGGTCCTTGGCTGGGGAATCAAGCCTCTTCAGGGGCCCCAGGGCTCAGTTCTTTTAGCTCTATTGGTCTCCTTTTGTAGGTCCTGTCCCTTCTGGGTCTTTCTATCTCCCCCTTCTTTCATAAGATTCCCTGCACTCTGCCCAAAGTTTGGCTATGAGTCTCAGCCTCTGCTTCAATACCTTGATCCAGTGGCGTCTTTCAGAGGCTGTCCCACAGACTTTTTTTTTTTTTTTTAATGTACATTAGTGTTTTAACTGCATGTGTAAGGGGGTCGGATACCCTGGACTGTTGTGAGCTGCCATGTGGGTGCTGGGAATTGAACCCAGGTCCTTTGGAAGAACAGACAGTGCTCTTAACCACTGATCCATCTCTCTAGCTCCCCCCCTTCCAGACTCTCATATATAGCTATTCTTAAGATGCTTAAGCATTTAAGCACTGGAACACTTAGGTTTCAGTACATAATCTCTCTCTCTTTTTCTTAATGTGCTGCTGATAATATCAGTGTGGGCAATATGCAAATTAGCTTATCAAGTCTTAAGGTCATGGGTTCATCACACCTTAAGAAGAACAGCAAGTCAGTCTAGCTGACTGGCTTTGGGGAGGGCACTTCTTTTGGAAGTCAGATGGTATGAAGCAGCTCAGATCGCTGTCGGCAGGCCATCCCCCTCCTTCGGATAAATACAGGGCTGCCTTGCCTCTTTAAAAAAAAATAAAATAAAACAAAGGAGACAAGACTACATTGGCTTTTTACACTCATTGAGAGTAATTTACAGTAAAGTAACTTTGGAACGACTCCAAGTAAATCTACTTTAAAATATCACCTGAATAACTCTCTGCTCCAGTTAACCCCTTGGCTGCCAAAGTGACAGCAATTGAACTGCGGCCCAAAGATCCCCAGAGCTGACCCCCTAGACATTATGGTATTTTCTCACGTAACCTAGAGACCTTTGCCCACCTAGCATCACTTATGACCTTCAACCTTGCAAGTCTGGTTGTTTGTTTTATTTTTGCAATGCTTTGGACCCAATTCACTGGGCTCAGGAATATCTGAGGCGTTCTGTTGGTTTAGGAGGACCTTCTCAGAGGAATCTTCCTTACAGATGAGCTTGCATACATCTAGCCAGGAAAATAATGTTTTCTGGCTCATATAGGCATTCCACAGGGTCACATGTTTGCCTGGCAAATAAGCCCTTCACTTCTAAGGTCCAAAAGGGTGATGGTGATCCTGGCGTCACTGGGATCTAAAGCCCTCTGAGGTCTTGTGACAAGAGTCCTCACAGCCACCTGTCTATAACTGCCCCTCATATATATATATATATGTGTGTGTGTGTGTGTGTGTGTGTGTGTGTGTGTGTGTGTATCACACAGTGACAACACCCCCCCACCTGAGTGTTAGTTACTATTGA